TGTCCAGCTGACTTTATACCAAGTGTAGGTAGAGTGGTCTCTTCTCAGAAGATCAGCCCCAGAAACTTATTTTTCCTCCTATATCTCATTAGAGGTGTCTGTTTCATCTTGAAAGCCATCATCTCATCCTTGATGTTGGACTAAATTTAAAACAATCCCCTTAGAACTGGAGGGGTGGAGAAAGCAGGAATCTGCTGTGTTTTTTGGGAAGGAAAAGCAATCTGAGGATAAATTTACAGTGAGTTCACCTTTTGCTTGGCTGCAGCTGCTGTGAGTCATGTGGACCTGAGCAGAGAGTGTGTGGATCAGCCACACCTTGCCAACTGTGACCTGATCCTGCAGGCCCAGCTCTGTGGTAACGAGTACTACTCCAGCTTCTGCTGCGCTAGCTGCGCTCGCTACCAAGCGCGGGCCAACCCGCCACGGCACCACGGCTGACAGACACCGCCACAGCCATGGGAGCCAAGTGACCCATGGCCAGACTGGAAATATGAACTCTGTCTTTTTACTGCATGGAACTGATCTAGGAGCTCTGCCCTGCTGGAAAGCTCAAGAGGGTGAATTGAACCACATGTAGTGGGTGTAAATATTCAAATGTGGGAGACTCACTACCCTCAAATTTATTGTAAACTCCTTTCCCCCTCATATGCTTTGCTGTACCCTAATCCATCTCTTTAGGGTAGTTGCTGTTGTTCACAGAACAAGATGATATTAGGGATGTAAGGATGATGTTGACTAGAGATGGCAGATAACCAATATGAAAGGGAGAGACCAATTCTTCATACAAGCAAGAGACAGAAGTGCTCTTAAAATTAGATAAATCTCTGAAGTGTCTGAAGGTGGGCCTGAACCATCTTAACCAAAGCAAAAATGAGCTATGAACATTTGTAATCCTGGGGAGCATTTGCCATCTACATGCAAAGGACTCTGGCCATGAGAAACAGCTTGATGCATATAAAATTAGTATTCAGGTCCTATGAGATTACTTAGCTCTAGGGATGCAGCTGTAATATCATGTTACTGTAGCTATTTTATTCCAGAAGACCTTAAGACAAATTTCTAGTAGGGTCAGTTTGGTTTCTACTTGACTGTAATCAGCTTTGGAGGGACGTGCAGAAGCAATGCTTCACAGAAAGCTTAAGACAAGACAGAAAAATACTTTTAGCCCTTCCTGAATGTTAGGGGTAATTCAGATGAATATACCACACTCTTATCTGTTCTGAGATGCTGCAGTTTAAGTGTCACTGATTCTAGGAAGGCTCAGCAGGTAAATTTTTTTCTCTGAGCCAGAACTGTGCTGTTCAATTTATCTCAGGGCTGGGCTCAGTGGTGGCATTGTACTGAGCTTCAGCTTGGGGGGGTAAATAATACATGCATAGAAATACATGTTTAGGGGCATTTGACTTGCCAGAATAAACCTCCCAATGATCTGCTCTAGTCTGTTCGGCCCAGGAAAGCCTGGCTCTGCATGTGGCCTGGGCTTGTGCCTGTTGCAATGGGCTAACAAGCTAGGGCTTCCAGATGCAGAGCAGCTGTAGCTGAAAAGCATCCTTCGTTTCAAGATTAACATGGAGTGGCAGCAAACATGAATATGAGTCTCTGAAAGAGAAAGTCTTAGGAATTAAGAAGTGTGATTATATCACAATTTGTTAAACCAGTTAAGGCCCTTGGCTGTCTTCAGTATCTCAAAACGGAATTATTTCTGAGCAAAAGCTTTTTTTTTTTTTTTTACAGCCTCCACAGTATTGTTCTACCCTAGCACCAGCCCTGACAGTCCCTTTCTTCCTCATTCCAAACTCCCTGCTGAGACTTGGATGGGTTGATACTATTAATTAGCACCATTTCCCATGTATTATTATTTGCACAGATGTAGCTATAAAATAGTAGATTGGTGTGTAGATGCTGATATTCTGGTTGTGGGGGTGGAGGATTGGGGTTTCTTTTACTTTTGGCTTCTACTTATGTTACTTTAAGGTTTCTAAAGAAGGCAGCTAATTCAGGACTGCGCTCACACCACTCTCCTCTCCTTCAGTCCAGACTCAGCACTATCATGGCAGCAGCAATTCATAGGTGTGAATCCCCAGCTTGACAGCCTAAAGCTGGTTTGTACCCTAAATCCAGTAAATCAGTTCAGTTGGACCTAAAAATAAGAATTACTGACCTAATGACTGCACTCTGGTCAGCACAGGTAGGGCTTCAGGATTGGACACACTGCTTTAAGATGTGAACAGAGAAGCCTAGAAGCAATCCAGTAAGGGAGCTAGAGGTGACAGTCACATAGGTACCTGGGGCTGAGTCTTTCCGTGGTCTGAAAGATTCTATTTGCTAGAACAGACAAAACCACTTATTTTGCAGTTAAGGCCCTTTAATTTGATTAGGGAAAACCCCCTGCTGTAATGCATGGCAAGCATTACAGTGTAAGGTTTGAAGTAGAAAGCATTGGATATTTAAGAACAATGAGATGGTCCTGAGAACTTCCAGTTGTTTGTACATATATTTGTGTTTAACATCTGAGACAAGCACCATTTTACCTGTGTGTGTAGGATATTTTAGTATTTCAGCATAAAGTAAGATTTTGTCCCTTGAGCCCAGGGAGTAATGACAGACCCTGTAAGTTCCAGTCTTACTTGAAGCTGTTTCATTTCAGTTCATACATGGCAGGCACCAAGGGATAGTCAAGGTCTGCAGACCTGCTCTCAAGAGCATGGTTAGAAGTTGATCGTGAGTGCATCAGACTCTTTTGTCACAGAATAAGTAGTCAGTTCTATGATATCCCTTTCTATTATGTCAGAGGCTCTATTTTTAGAATATTTAAATATTCTGTGTAGTCAGCTATCATTTAAACTGTATGGTTATACAGGATGGGGCCAGGAAGCACTTGCTCAAGATTCATGAAGGCTGTAACAGCCCCCTGCATTTTGATGGGCAGGACTTCAACACAACGTGCTTTGGTTAAGGGAGAGTTTATTCTGACCTCCTTTCAGCTGCATAACCATGGCAGTAAGGGTGGTATGGGCAGGCATGCAGTGCCCTGCTTTTAATACATGCCATCACTGTAAAAGTTAACTAAAGGGTCTTTACATTTCTTCTATTTGGTAAGAAGAGCTTCTTGCCTCTGGAGTACATTTAATTGTCTGACTCCATGTTTAATTTTTTTATTTGAGAATCAAGATGGTTGTTTTCTTCCCTAAACAATGGATTGTAGGAAGTTCTTATCTCCAGGACAGGAGAAGGGTGTAGTTATACTGGGCTATTTTCAGCTGATCTTGGGGCACTTACTGTGAAAGATATGAAATTAACAGAGTAAGCTATAGTAGCTTTCTTTCCTGTTATAAATATCTACAAATATTTATTTGCTTTTAGAAAGCTGAACAAAGCATTGATGCCAACACAAATACCATAAGGGAGTGTTCCCATTACTATTCATATCATACTGAAAACAGGTAAAAATCTGTAAAGTAAAAAGTCAGAGTTTTCTAGACTGTGTCACACTGAGACTCACTGTACTCCCCTGGAAATGGAAACTGCTGGCAAACTCAAATGCTCGGGCCAAACAAAGAGAGCATTTCTTCCCCTTCAGGTTATGTAGTCTGACTATTCCTTGTGTCTAAACTGACGTGATGCCTGTAAGAATGCAGTAAGAACCAGTCATACTAACAGGGGAGATATCAGCTCACTGAAAGAACAGAAAAGGAGTGAGAAATACACCAGCATCTCATATGGCTCCTTTCAGTAGTAGGGGAAAGAAAAACAAGGCAAGTTTTCCTTTTTGCCCTTACTGAATGTTAGTATCCTCGTATTTGTCTCTGTAAATAATCAGTGTTAGAAAACGAAACAACAGAAACCTAGACTGATGTTCTCAGTAAAGCCCTCTGTCCTTGAGCTTTAAATGGTTATGGATCACAAGGATATTTTGCAAGTTCAGTGTTAAAGTTCAAGGTAACCTAATGTCTTGTAGCAAATGAGAGGTGTTAAGATATTATTATGCTTGTAGGTTGGCAAGCAGAGCATATCTGCATTCACCTAACAACACAGAGGATACCCAGAAGGGCAAATGGTGAAAACTGAATTGGGGTGGGAAATAAAGCTTTCACAGACACTGCTTCTACCACCAACATTTATTTCTGTTAAAGCAGATTATAAATCATCAGTACAAATATATATAACTTACATTTGCTTGTAAGGCCAAAGTTTAAAAGTAAAGTTAAAATGAGATGGTTTTCACAAGTCATCAGAGGCAGAACCTGGACCAGCTGCAGCCTTAACCACAAGGTTTCACAAATCAGTGGGAAAAAAATAAAACCAAAGTTAAAAACCTCTAAGAACTATTGACAGACAAACATAAAATGGTTTCCCAGGCAGCCCCAGGATGTAGATATGATTACAGTAAGTTGTCACAGTAGTGTTAGAACCAATAGATTAAGACAAAGAAACCGCAGCAATATATGAAAGGAAAAAAATCCATACTATATAGAATATGTAGATTGATTCCAATAAAAAACAGTAATTTTTCCCCACGGTTTTTAAACCATGACAATACTGTTCTTCAATTTTCATGAATTAAAACTACGATATAATGACTTATTGGTTGTGATTGTTGTTGCAATATGCTACTTACAATGAACAGATACAAGAACAAGCTAGAGCCCCTTTTTCCACCCCCCCCAATATTACTTACAATAAGAATCAGAGATAAATCAATCTTATGTACAATTTCTTACATCCAACCCCCTTTTGTTTTAAACCTTTGGCAAGATTACTTACAACTCATACAGATTTTAATATCCAACTATTTAAAATATTCTAAATGCATAAAAATAAAGATTTTGGCTTTACTTTATTCTTTACATATAATATTCACTTTGTTACTCAAAATGGAAGCTCAACTTTTTCCACATACCTAGCTTTTGCTAAGGTGACAACACCCCACCCACATTCACCCCCCCAACCTACCCCATTTTTCCCTGAGGGGGAACATCCAGGACTCGCAGGGCATCAGAAGGACTCAGGTACGAGATCTGCCTTCCTTTCTGTGAGATGATTGGTGTTTCTGCAGAACAGGCTTTGGGACTGGGTGCCTTTCTTTGCTCCATTCGACTTCCAGCTTTCCAAGTGAGGAGGGAATGTAGACTGGGGTGGCTCCAGGTTTTCTTTTAAGAACTGCACATTAAATTCTCTGTATGTTTATATCCTCCCCATAATTGTTCCCTCTTTCTAACTCATTTTTACTTGAAGGGACATTTGGGATTATCAAAGCAAACTGATCAGGAACAGTCCCCTCTGCTCCCTTTATCCCTCTATCCTATTGTACAATTTATCCACTCCCTCCCCATGGGAGTGCTTAAAGTTCAATCTCAAATGTCTTCTGTAAATCACTGGAGAAGGGGTTAGTTGGGGAGGGATTAGTGCGCTGCTTCGTCTTGCTCTCTAGTGCTGCCCACTGTGCTTCGAACGGGTCAACCTGGGGAGCAGCGGCGGGAGGCTGCGAATGCTTGTCCTCGGCAGCCCATTTCCCACCATCGACGCCGTTGAACGCCGTGGAGCCGTTGTGCTGGGTGGGTGGGTTGAAGAACGGGCTGGCGGTAGCGCTGCTGCTTTCGTACTGAGGGAGCGACTGCTGTTTGACGAGACTGGGGGACTGATGTGCATGGGCTGCTGGAGTGTGGCTCGCAGTACCAAAGACGTTGGCTACCATCTGGGAAGGTGTGATCCCAACCACAGGGACGCTTGGGGCTGCATAGGTCATCCCGTTTGGTACAGCATAGGGCTGAGCTGGAATGAAAGCTGGCTGCATGGGTGGTACCACGCCCACCGGCACAGGCTGAGGCGCAATGAAGGTGCTGACTGGGAAGGCTGGTGCTGACTGGGAGGCTGGAGCTGCTGGAGGAGGCTGGAGCAGTGGCTGTGGGGCTGGGGCTGAGGTTGGCTGCTGCTGAGCTCTGACAGTCTTTGAGACCTCTTCCAACCAGCGGTCTGCCTCCGAGGGAGTACGTCTGTGATTTCCTTGGAAGAGGCTTGGCGAGGCCGCACCTGAGGAAGTGCTGCTCCATTCAGTGCCTGGGAAGGAAAGCATGGGGAAGTCACTAATATTTCCACTCCTTGCCCTTTCATCGGTTAGAAAGGCTGGAGGGTGTACACAAGAACAGACAGGCCTCCTCCTCCATGACTGAAAGATGCTACCATCACTGGAAGCATCTTTATGCATCCACTGTACTGTTCTGTTACAGGAATAAGTTCATCAAGAAGGGGTAGGGAAGAGCATCTTTGGTAAACAGCAGATTTTTTTTTCTTCATAGCAGACATCTGAGACTTTACAGCATGCAGGAAGCTGCTGCCTGCACTCGTAACCTGGTGGCAATGATCTAGTCCATAACCACTAAATCCTCTAACTGGGGAGCACCAGTTTCTGATGTACAGCTAGGACTGGTGGACTTGGAACAAAAAGCTCCTGTTTTAAAGACAAAGTCTAGTACTCTTACAAGGCCAAGAAGTACCTATTATTTCACTAGCAAAGTTTCTCTTGTTGAGTGGTGCCTACACCAGGAAATTATGCTAGTTTGTAGCCTTCTAGCATATGTGTTCACATGGGTGACAGCCATTTCACACCATTTCGCCCTTACACAGTGTATAACTGCAGATGAGGCCTGGAGAGACAGACTAAATTTATTTAACAAAAGAAATGAACCTCTAAAGCCTTTTAAATAACCAACTTCATCCCTCCTTATGTACGTTAGTAGAAAGAACACAAAAAGTATTTTGGGTACACAGAAATTCTCTGCCCTTCATACACACCTACACACACACACAATTTCATTACTTCCTTTTTAAGCACTGAATTTTCTAAAATGCTGCCAAAATAAGAATCAGTCCAGATGATAGACCCAGAACCAGCGAGTTCATCGCTTCCCTCTATCCACTCAGGCAAAAGGCTACTACTTCCGGCTTTTGTTACTGTTCCTTCCACTTGCCATTAAGTGGCACTGACAATTGTCTCAAGGGCTCAATTATGCTTTTGATCCACGTTCTTACAGCAATGCACCAGGATCTACTCCCAATCTTACCAGTGACCATGGCTGCAGCTCCAGTATTAGCAGGAGGAGCATGAGCCCATGGATTGGTTTCACGAACTGGCATAGCTGTGGACACTACAGCAGCTTGGGATGGTTTAGCAGCAAGCACACAGAAGGCAGAGGCAGTGCCATTAACTAAAATGGGAGCAGACAACATCAGTGCAATTAATTCATGCAAGGCATGCATGTGACTGGAATATTAGTGGGCCACGTCATACCTATCAACACACAACTGTTTTAGACACTTCCACATGACAGCAGTTTGTGTAAATAACCAAACTGGACTGACAGTCAAGAAAGCTAGTAAATTCCATTTCACCAAGCCAACACTTGTTAACATAATTGTGGGATGGTGGATTTTTATTTATTTTAAGAGGCCTTGCGTTCTGATGACCAGCTGAAGTTAAAATTGTTTTTATAAGGAAGAGAAATGGCTTGCCAGAAGTTACTGTATGGTTAATTTTAGATACAAAAGAAGAACATATTTTATATACAGAGCAACAATAACTACATTTAACATGGAGAGGTTCTTCTTTCACACAACTTGTGTAAAAGCAGAATAGTGAAATGAAGATTAGTGGCTGCTATGAGTTCTATAGTTGGCGTCTCTCCACAACTTATCTAAGAATTTGTGTGAAGAACAGTAATCGTGGCAACACAAAACCTCTTCCCTTGTGAGACTGGGTTCCTATGACACACGGTTGGTAAGGTTTTTGTAGTTCAGGAGGCAGAATGATAAGTTAGCCCTTATCTCAAAGCCAGTCCCTCTTACAGGTAACTATCGTGTGGTAGGTGCATAAACGTTTTGTTAAAAACAAAACCACAGACAAACTAAACAGACAAGATGAATAAAGCGGGATGCGTTCACCCAAAATACTGGTAACAGGACTTGCACAAGAAATTAAGACCATGTGTCACTGGAAAGCAACATTATGTGCATTCAAGCCTCATCCAGCCTGACCACGGTACGCAACGAAATCACAAACCTTGAAAGGCAGGAGACTGTGGTGCGACTACTGTCACTGGTTTTGTCATGGGGGCCGAAGAGAAAGGATCTTCTGATGGTGTGCTGAAAGCACTGGTGATCTGAGAGCACAGGGCACTAATGCTGTCTGTTTCCCCTTCTACCTCGGGGACTAAAATGTAAACAGAATTCATTAAATTGGAAGTTTAAAGGATATAGAAACAATTTACAAATACCAATGTGAAACTGAAATAGAATTAGTTCCCTTATGTCCTAGATGTTCTTGCTACTGATTTGCATAAGAGCTTTTTTTAAAATTAGTGTTGCAGACCTGACCTGAAATAGAACACCACATTAGTGTATTTCGTGACTAAGTCAAGAGGGTAAGGAGATCACCATTCCAGATTTAAAGGATGTTTATATCAGAAAATAAAAGGGTTTTCTATAGCTTTATAGCAGAGATCTAAATCTTTCAGTATTAGAGTGCTAAACATACCAAGGATTTGGCATTAAGATTTGGCACTCTGTGAAATGAAAATACTTATGATAGATTTAAGTGTTCCAACAACACATTTCTACAGTAACTAGATGAAGTTCAAACGTGCTGACAGCAATGCACAATGGCAAGTTAAGTCTAGAGTTAGAATGCTGATTGTTCCAGTTCAGCAGTAGTGAAATCCCCAGCTCCTGTGCTAGAATCATAAAAGCAAAAGCTGAATGCTCAAATAAAATGGACATTCAGTTTTAAACCAAGTATCAGCATCATGTGGGTAAAGCAACATCTGGAGTAAAGCTGTCAGCTTACCAGATGTTCTTATTATTACCAATTGCATTGTTTTCAAAAAGTACCAATCATCAGTCCTTCACTGCACAGAACCGGCGTGAGCAGGCATAATCAAGCACAAACAGTGCAAGAAACATAAGATGTCTGGACACAACATGCACCATATTTAAAATTCAAGGGGATGCATGCCCAAAAATTGTTTGTTTGAGGGATATTCCAATACAGTGCATGTAGTGTGACAGTAAGCAGCACTGGCAGTGGCATATATGAGAACATGCATCAGAAATGTTCTGAATCACGAAAAATTCAGACTGTAGTGTGCTCAGTGAGTATCACCAGTGAACAGTGCACTATTACTGTAAACCGACCAATCTAGTGCTTGTCTTCAAGTACAGGTCACTAAACAACGACTCTAAGAGAAGTGAGACTAAGTATTTTTGTTGGGTCTGCCTTTGCCACAGTGATTTTTTACTTCAAAGCTTAGAACCCCCAAACTAGCTCTGTTGCCAACTGAGAGTACAGCTGGCCTGCATGATAACCTAGCTAAGGGGAGTCTAGGACACTATGCAAGGTACTGAGCACCCCAGCTGTTTCGGTTGGGATGACTCTAGAAAAGCCCACTACCATCATGTGAACACTGCACAGCCAGTTAAACAGCACAGTTTCTTATAATGCAAGATGAAAAGAAATTTAATTGCTCTCAAAAAAAGAATTCAGACAAGCAGAAGGACAGACTGCACATGGTCCCATGACAAATGGTTAAGGCCTTGAAGGGATTTGTCTCTCGGGATGCCCAGGCATTAAGTGGAAGAACTGGTTCAGTGACTCAGAGGGAAGAGCCAACACCTACTAATTCACCAACACCCATTCCTGGAGCACTTCGAGCTGTGCTCCAGTACCTCAGGTAGTGATTTAGAACTGTTTGTCTTCTGCCTGTGAGCGGTGCATTTGAAATTCTTGCCTATTCCCAAAGCACAAGTTTTCTGACATGATGATGTTTGTTCATGATAAATGATCAACACGAGGCAGGAAGAAGGATTTACCAGAAAATAAGGAGTTATTTGAAGTCACAGAGAAAGAAAGGAGGAAGAATGTTTCACTGGAACCATTTGGTTTTACCTGAGTTTTTCATGGGGAAATCGGTCTTCCTTTGCACTGTTGAAGGCAGTTCATTTATTCGCAAAGACAACTGGCGTTTAAAAGGAGACATCTTTTGGCTGAGGGCAGGGAAGCCCCTGAAAGACCCTTGCCTGGCAAGCTGTTCTATAGGGGCATGCCTCCGTGGAATAGCATGGGGATTGCTCATTTCTTTATCCAGAGAGGCAGCAACTTCAGCAGTAGGAGAGGTTGGTGAGCCAGAAGAGGGGGCAGTATTGTTTGGTGCAGCACCTGGTGCTACTGTTTTCACTTCTGTTTCAACTGCTGGAGGAAACAGGGTGAGGTTAGAAGAGCAAAGCAAAGTACTATTCAAGTGCCTGCCCCTATTCCCATTTGTTTTGAAGAGAGAGATTGCAGGAATTTGCATAACTAGTAGTCTTCCAAATGAGTTTCTAATAGCACAGCAGAAACATCATTTCTATATACTTTCATACCTTTACATACATCAAGTCTCCACACCTTACTAAGGTTAGCCACTTCCTAGAAACAATGGCCTTACATATGTATTCTTTCTAGCTGTTCCTGAGACCCCAGCTCTACAAATACTTGCAATTCATTTACAATTAAGACTGGAAAATGTGTGTTTGAGACCTTTACTTTGCCTCACACAGAACCATGGCCAAAATATTACTCTGAACTGTAATAAAGTAACTTAGGGTGACATAAAGCAGCAGCAGTAGGAACAGAAACCAGTTCTAGGACCCTTTTTAAAAGCCACCTTCCCAGCCCTGCAGATTCTTCAGCAGCAGCCAAACACACTGCACAAGCTTTAGCAGGCCAAAGGCAGCAGCAGCACTTAACAGGTTAGGCTGCACTCAGTGCTCAGGCTGCAGCTCCCACAGCTCCTCCAGGAAATACATTACAGGTAGATGGAAGTAGGCTGCAAGGTAGATCCAGCCACTGAGCTGACAGGCCTTGCTAACACCAGGCACATTTACAGTGGGTTCCCATGTCCATTCTTTTAACTGAATTTAGCTGCAATGTTACCATCCAATCACTAGTCAGTTGCACTGGAAGCTCCTCCAACTTAAAGTCAGCTGCTTCATTTTGCAAGGTTTTGTTTCACAATACTTTCATCAGCCAGGCCAAATGGTAGAAATGTAGGATTAAGTCTTGTTTAAATCATGACACTTATGATTAGAATAGCAATGGAGATTTTTCCATCTCTAGGAAACCTCTCTCTCACTCATAAATGAATTGGCTTTGAGGGGCAATAAAAGCAGCTCATCAATGCAGCAGGAAAAGGAGAAATCTCACTACCTTGGTGTGAACTTTTTCCTATTTTACCTATATCATTTTCCAAATGTTTTAGAAAAAACAGTTACTTTTTTTTGTTGACATTTCAGCAGAACAACTAGAAGACTGGTAAAGAGAGGAGTCAGACTAGAGATTTCTGAGGAGCTGGAATGGTAGGAGGAACTAATTATGTTGTCTTGCAAGCTTCAGTACCCATGAGTTGCAGCTGCTCGTTCAAGTGAAACTTTTCTAATCAGTCTTTCTTGGAAAGGATTTCACACACCTTCATTAAGTCAAGACTTTGACTCATGCCCTCGAGTAACAAAGGCCTTGTGTTTAAGCTTCATTTAGCACATTCTAAAACTAAAGTATGGGAACAAGCAGATGGATGATGAAAATGAAGATTAAAGTTTTGCAGTTGGGGGCAGCATAAAACATGCTGTGGAATCCTCAGAAACAAAAGTTTGACTCCACTGTAAAGAGGGCTATGAACAACATTCATAATACTAATTTTGTGTTAGCTGTACAACTCCAGTACTTGTAATAAAAATTTGAGTAAGAAGTCCTACTTCACTTCAACTTCAGAACACTTTAAATTCTCTGAAATCAGTTAGTCACTAGTTTTGAATGTAATTAACAGTGCAATGGTTGTGTGTTTTATCAGGAGGGGGTGGTTGCTTTGTTCTGGTTTTTTAGAAATCACTCTGTGATTGAGCTGTTCTTCCCTCATGCAGTGTAACTCCATACAGACATTGTGCAACCTGCCTTAAAAATCAAAATGCATTATTTTCTAAGAAAAATGCATATAATTTTCTGTTTGTTTACTATAAGCTTTAGACTACAGAAAGGATTACTTTATGTCTGGCAGACTTATTCTATTTTTATAACAATTTCCTAGTAAGGCCTTTTAGTCTGGTACCTATGATGTTCTCTGCCATGAAGCATGCTGACAAAGCAAAGCAGAAGCAGCTTTCACATATGAGGCCACTTGCACCTTTGCTAGAACAGATGTGGGAAAATGTGCTACAAGTGAATCTGGGACTATCTTTCATCTTGTGAAGTGACAAGTGTCTGGGAATATGATTTAAACACAGTAAGATCCAAAAGAGGGAAAGCTGTAACGATGTTAAGCCTCAACCCTTGGACAGGCCTCGGTGCTGGTTTTGCTTGCTATGGATAATTGTTTAAGTTGCATCCCGTACCTTTAGCATCCGGCATCTGTCTCATAATTTCCTCTCTCTCTGCTTGCTCAGTAGCTGTAGTGACCCTGAATGACCCCTCTCTAGTGAATGTGGTTCTGCTGGCATCAAAGGTGGCAGTCACTCCACACTCCTTCTCTCGCTTCTGCTTTCGCTCCAGGCATGCTGCAAATGCACAGCCCACGGCATGACTCAACCTTTCCCCCTGTACAAGACAACATTGCATCATACAGTAACTGGAACAGAAACATACATGTGCTTCAAGCATTGCAAACCTGCCTTTACAGGATGAATCTAATTAAGGCATTAAAGACAACTACTATAATTGGCCAATGGCTCTAAAATTAAACTTGGTACATAAAGACTCCCAACTACTAATGCACAAGCCATGTTCAAAGCCACCCAGGAATGAATGAGATTGTTGGATAATCTGTTTAGCTCAATTGTGACTAAAATGCCAGTGCTTGCACAGATCCTCTGCCTCTGGCTACATCTGTGCACAAAAACCCTTTCCTGAAGGCATCTTCAGCAGGTGTAAGTCCTGAAGGACAGATAAATACTATTCTTGGTGAAAGTCTACAGAGGGCCCAGAGAGACATTACCCTTGTGTGCAAGTGTGAAAATTAAAACTACAGTAGTCACTACTTACACCTCTTAATGGCCCTGAGCAAATGCACAAGAGTTAAGAGTGCCTTCTGAAAAGCACTTCCATTATTCACTGGTGAGGTGAAAAGGATCCACTATCCAATAAGTGCAATAAGGAAAGGAAATTCAAGTCGGAGGAAGTCCAGCAACCAGATGATACAGTGGCTACAGTTGAGTCAGAAGCATTTATTGTGACCAGTAGCTCAACTCATCTATCATAATCAGTAAGTGAATTGACCTGCTATTCACAGAGGGAAACAGAAAAGCTCCAGCTCTAAGTTTTACTGGGAATTTCTAACTACATTGTTTAAAGAAAAATGATAAATTGTCAAGTACCATTGCTCTGAACATGCAGCTATGTGGAGTTCACGCAATGAATTTGCATGAGGTTTCAAGCACTTTGTGTAATATAAAGCAGGATTCAACAAAAAGCAGATCGAGGAAAAGGCCAGATCAGGGAGTAAAATAACTTACTTAAGTCTACAAAGCAATAAACCTATAGAGGTAACTTACTTTAAACCTTCCACTCAAAACGTCTCTATCACTTAGAAGCAAACAGAATGCAAATTTAATTCAGTTTAGCTCCATCCCTTAACGTTCAGATGACTTTTCACTCATGATAACAAGAGACTGCATTCGTAACCAGTCTGTATTTACTCACTATGATTTTATCCTGGAAAAACTGTCATTGCGGTTTCAGGTTTTGGCTGTAAACATTTTCAGATGAGAAAACAGTCTATTAGAAGAGTAGTTCCCTTCTGCTAGGGATAGCTGAGGCTGACTGCATTCCTTTTATACACATGCTGAGCACTGTTTCTCTCCACATGACAATGCCACAGAGGGATGGCAAATAATTCAGATATAAAGAATTAGAACAAAAGTCATTTTCAAAGACTAAGTAATATTTCAGCTGGAATCAAAACATATTGCAGTATTCCAGGCACTCAATTTTTTCTGAGCATTACTTCTAGCTAGGAGCTGGAAGAGTTGGGCCACACACCATATTAAACTTACCGTGTCCTTCACAGCCATAAAGCAGTGGCATATCCAGCGTCTTGTTGTGCCATCTCGACAGATGTATGAGAATGCTCGGTCAAAGTTCCTGTCTGGTGCGCAGAAAGAAACCTTCTCTATTGTCTGATCAACTATAAGATCCTAGAGGGAAAAAATCCCCCCCACAATAAAAGAAATGTGAGGAAATATGGAAGAACACTTGAAGAAGTAATTTTCAGTAGTAACTGCACAAAGATGAGTTGCACTAAAAAGAGCATAACCTGATAAGGCTATAATTGTCTCTCAATGAGTTCACCATCCTGAGTCTGTTCCCAGTATAAAACAAAAAGAACAGATGACATTTTCTACAAGTCACCTTTGGTAGAAGTGTACCAAGGCACCACTTAAGAATTTAGGGACCCAAACAATTCCTATGATCTCTCCTCTAGACTGTGGAGGTGCACAATTTTGTTTTATTTTTACAGCAGCTCCAGAGTTTTGAAATCAAAAAGACTTTACTGTGGTTAAAACACAACACAAACTTATGGGAGAGGTCTGCAAGTGTGAAAAGGACTAGCAGCTGCTACACAAAGAGCAAAAACTGATCCACCAATTGGCTAAGCAGGGATGCAATGGAATAGTACCAGCAGTGCTAGTAGTATAAAACACCCCCGATTTATTCCCATAAATTGATGGGATAAGTGTTTCTAAAAGGGAGATAGTATAGTTTAGTACTATGCCATATTCATTAGAAATCGTTTTTTCAACATTTTTTTTCAAAATTGGGTTTTGGGGTTTTTTGGTTGGTGGCTAGTACTTTAGCACCTCTGCTGATGTAGTCAACCACCAGGAGGCAATAGCATATTCTCTTTTCAAATCCTATACTTTTAATTACCTCCAGAGTCTGCACAACTTATTAAAATTCAACTTGAAAACATTACATATATGAAGTATATACATATATCATTACTTTTAAATCAGGCAATTGGTAGACTGAATTCACTCACATCAGTATGTTTGTATAGGAACTGAATTCTTGAGAGATGGCAGTTTTAGCACTGATGAACCACATCATAACAGCAGCCCTGGAGAAGTCTAACCACAGAGCAGGTATCTGACAGGCAGTTGTACTGCAGAGGCATATGAATTATCTCTGCCTGCTTCTCAGTGTTGCCTTGCAGAAATAATCTTTCAGGTTGACAAAGTAAGTGTTAAATGACATGAACATAAAATAAATTATTTCAGACTGACAAGAGTTAAAACTGTTCTGCTAGCCATGCCATCTTTTAAAATACTACTAAGCTTGTAGTGTAAGTCTAAAGCTCTTATTCCTAGTTATTTACATCTACATAAAACCAAGAATCATTTGCTCTTACTTGCACACAGGTGCCTTGGTGGTACACATTGTGCTATTTCACAATTAAAAAACTGTAAAACTATCTAGAAGGATGCCATGAATACATTAGTCTTCCACTTCAGACCAACAGCTTAGATATTAGAATCAAAGATTTGATATAATCAGTTACTATTTAGCTTGAGTCTGAAGGCACAACCCTTCTACCTCATTTACTTTCTTCATGGCATTTTTGGAAGCTCTTGTTCATTGAGACCCATTCTAGGATTTGGATGCACTGAAAATTATATTGGTCAATGTGAGTTTGCTGATGGAGCACTATTGAAACCCTCTGCAGTGGCACAGACCAAAGTCAAGGGACTCTTCAAGTTCAATGTCAACAGAACTTAGCAGGAAAAAATGGTTGTTCCAGTAAATACAATAAAAAAAATATACAAAAAACCCTTGTGCTACCTGCCACATTTTATAAAATGTGTCTTGAGAGTAGCGTGGAATTAACTAGAAAAAAAATCAGCATGCATACATATGTTTACACAGAAAGAAATGATTAAACTAATTATACACCTCAGTCTTTCTTTCAAATACCAACATTTGCATTAATATAAAGACTGGTGTCCATTTAAAGATACAGAACATACGTTATTATAGAGCAATTTCAAAGTTTTGCCCAGGGAAATCTAACCTTTGTTTTCTCATCTACAACTCTGAGTCCATCCGCCGAAACCCACAGGACTGCTTTGACGGCTTTCTTCCCAGACTTTCAAGAAAAGAAAAGAGGAAAGAAAAAACAAAACAAAACAGTTTTATGCCAATACCAGACTGCTATCCACTTCCCTTCTCCAAGAGCTATAACATTAAGTGTAGATGAAGTCCACGGTCAGTAGGGTGCCCAAAGCCAGATACTCAATCCAAGTTGCAAAACATTCAGAGAACCAAGCCAAAGCCAGTACTTCAGAAACAGCACTTTGTGGGGATGGGGAGAGGGCACAGGACAGGTGGAGGCAAAAATAAGGTGTACATCCATTGACAGTAAAGAATTCAAGACTGATCAAGTGGGTGAAGAAGTCCACTAAAAAGTCAGAAGACACTAATTCATAAGGAGTTACACCACAGGTAGCTTCTTGAGCACAAGTTTAAACACAGGAAAATTCTTACCTGGTACTTCCACCAGCCCTACCCTCTGCCCCAATAGTCACATGGCAGAATCATGGCATCACCTTAAACCAGTTTTAAAAGCACCCCAAAAACACCAGTTACTGTGTAACTCATTGAGCTCATAAGCTTAATGCTAAGTTAAATCATCCAAACATGTTTCACTAATTTATTAAGAGCTAAATCTCAAATCTTAGAAGAGAGGTAGAAAAAAATAATTTCTTAACCATTTGGTGTGTATCTTGAGAAAGCAGTGGTGTGTGGCAGGCTGATGCTGCGGAGGAGTGGTCTGGCTTTTACCCAAGACCCGACTGTGGGAAATTTCAGATGCTGCAAGCTGAGAGCAAGTAAAAGTAGGAAACACAGAAAGGCTTCAGAAGCCACTTAAACTATGGATCCTTTCTAGACTGTTTACCTTTCAAGGGAAAGTTACAGAAAACAGTATAAACACTTGACACAATATTCTTCGGAAACTCATTCATTCAACAGAGAATAGGTAGATGATGTCAAGGCAGTTTTACTGGTTGTTACAGAGACCTACTACTAGCAAAATGGTATCTTTTTTTTTTAGTGTATTGCTTTAATTCACAAGCCCCATACTTTAAGCCAGTTAAAAAAACATTCTCCCCATAATGTTTTTTGAAGCACTGGGTTTACAGACTGTGGCTGCTAATGGCATCCACCAGAGACCACTGCAGGGAGTGGAGAGCAACAGCAACAACAACAACAACAAGATGAAGGGGTATCAGCTAGTGGCTTCAAGCAAGAACTGCAACTATTTTATTTTTTTTCTTAATAGCTCATTGCAGATCTGTATAATATATATTCTTACAGCAAGTAATGGAACAAGGACACATTCTGGCATAAGCTACCACTGTTCCAAGCTTGCAACACTGATTTTAGCACTGTAAGAATGAAATACATTGGAGTGAAAAGTTTCCAGTTATATCACATTGGTTTCATTCTCAGAGAAAGCAGCAAGTGTGAAGAGAAAGGGCCTGGCAGAACTTCTGTTTGTTTTTTGGGGAGGAACTATCTGTCCCAATTTCGGAAGCAGCAATGACACCCTGAGCATTTTCAAAGAGCTTGTTGAGAACAGAGAATGGCACTGACTTGTACAGAAGAGTGATTAAAGAGAAAAGAGAGAAAATAAGCATGGCATGAAAGCAAGCTATAGAGAAGTGCTTGCAAAAGCAAGTTTCTAAATGACCATCCAGCCTGCTGGATATCCCAGAGGTTTACCAATTTCGGAAGCAGCAATGACACCCTGAGCATTTTCAAAGAGCTTGTTGAGAACAGAGAATGGCACTGACTTGTACAGAAGAGTGATTAAAGAGAAAAGAGAGAAAATAAGCATGGCATGAAAGCAAGCTATAGAGAAGTGCTTGCAAAAGCAAGTTTCTAAATGACCATCCAGCCTGCTGGATATCCCAGAGGTTTAGATTCTGGAATGGAATGGCTGTGTCATTCACAACAGAAGATGTACTTAAACTTATCACCACGTGCTAAAAAGATATTGCAGCATTTAAAAGTCACTTACACGTTCTGGTCTTGAAAGGCAGTAAATATCAATACCCACAAAATAGAGTCTGTCTTTTCAACACTCAGCTAGCTTCCACAGCCTAAAACCCCTTACTAATCCTCAAAACAAATGGTTTGTAGAGGTCTGTCTCCTTGAACTGTTTTAAAAAGGAGTACCAGTTCCTTAAAAGCCATTAATAGCCTTAAAAATCTTCATTTCAAGCAAATACAAACATTCAAGAGAAGATAATGCCTGCAGGTAACTGCTTGGTTTAGATTACCATCATTAGAACAAGAGATACATGTCTTTCCCCAGCAAACAATAAAAACTTTGTTCCTACAGAAATAGTGAGCAGTTCCTGAAGTTTTCATTAAAGTCAAGTTTAACTGAGCTGGGTACTTCATAAAGCAGTACGGATCTTCAGCAGACCTACTCCTCATCTGCTATTTTACCAAATGAGGATTTAGAAATACTAACACGTGGAACTTGATGTTTCTCAGAATAAAATAAAAAGGCTAAAGGGCTTTCTAAGTCCCCTTTTCCCACTGGAAACATTAGGTTCCACATGCAAGATAACTAAACATGGGTTTGCTACACTAAGAGAAAAACAGAACACACTTTCATCTCCCAGTTCCTTCCTCTAGATTTATGGTGGCTGCAGTGCTTTGAAGGGTTAAGTCCTTACAGTCTATACTCCAAACCCACGACTACTACTGTTGGGCAATGAATGATTCTCCTGTCTACTGAATTCTCAGCTTATCAGTGCCTTGTTCCTATAAGGAACATACTTCTCCATATCAGTTTATACTGGATATACAAATCAAAGTTCTACTCCATCATGGGCGGGATATTGCCAAGTAAATTGTGATTACAAAGTAGATAACAGCATTTGCACTCCTGGCACACACTGGACAAAGATCAGACCAGATGCAAGATACTGCATGGGAAGGGAATACCAACGCAGCGTTGCAGTTTGTGTAATAAACACTGAAACGTATAGGTGACTCCAAGCAGATTTAAAGCAAATGGACAATATCCACTGGAAACAGTATATGGTCTTAAATGTTGCTACCAAGAGACTCATCTAGACAACCAGATCAGTAGCTTGTCTTCATATTCCACAGTTTTTGGATGACAGCACTGCCTGAGGAGAGCCACGTGTGGCACTGACTCCCAGGAGCTTGATTTGTCACTGCTGAGTCAGACAGACTCATAGAAACCTCACTGCTCAGCACTTCTGGGGAGGTCAGTAAACAGCTCCAATACAAGATTTGGTATCTACACTGATTTCAGTCATCAGACATCTCCAGGAAGGCAGGCAGGCACTCATCCTAAGACACGACAAAGACAAAGCAGGACCATGGCAGGCTGGGCATGAGGGAAACTCCACTGACAAGCTGGCAATGCCCTAAAGATAAATATCCACCAAACAAAAAGCAGCAACTATACTGTAAGGTGCAAAATAAAGTTTTGAGGATGTCAGAGCAGAATTAAAGTTGCCCAATAATGCATTTTTAAAAATACTTCTACAATGTTTCCAGTATTTCTTCCTATTTTATTCTATCCTGGGACTTGGAAACACCCCTAATATGTATCTGGAGACTAAAATTTTTCATTTTAGACCTCATATAAAACATTGCATGATGAGAAAAACACACACTCGGTGGAAGCAAAACATAAGAGAGATTATCAAATCCGTACTACTATTCATTACAACAGAAAAGCTTTAGTTTTAACAATGAAGAGCTGCCTAAAAAGGTGGTTTATTCGGTAACTGCAGAAGCCTAACCCAGAGCTATCAACTGACATCACATTTTAATTTCAAGTTGAAAAGAAAGCATTTTTAATACTAAACACTTGAACATTTCTGGACAAAAATCCATCAGATGTACCTTCCACAGGAAGAAAAACACGGACAGGGACAGCAGCAAACATGTCTAGACTAACTTTCTGAAAGCTGCTAGTGTGTTTTAAATAGCTCTGCAGTTTGGAATATTATATTAATCCCAATGCAAGGCATCCGCAGAGAAATTATAGATGAGACAGCCAAAAGGTATTAGAGTTATTAGTATTTCTCAATTATTAATAAGAAAACAGCTGTCCCTTTTTTGCAGTTTTCCCTAGACATAGGCTACTATTGTAGGCCAAAGCTTTAATAAAGGCACTGCCATACTGGTACTGTGGGGAAATCTAAACTCTATGGATTTAAGTGGTTTCAGTGCTAATTAATGAAATTCACAGGCTGAAGTAGAAGCAGGTCCTTCTCTGGCAAAATATTATAATACAAGACAAAGCAAATCTACAATGCTGTGGTAAATAGCAGACTTCATTAAAAAAGCAAGCAAGATGTAATAGCATTCTTAATAATGGCATACTTAATAATTTAAAAAGTGAAAGATAGATTTTATCTAAGTGCTATGCATGTATCTGTCCTTTTACATTTTTGCTTTCTTACGTGCTCTAACATAAGTTAATACCAACAAGTAGAGAGAAAACTAAAGTATCTAATCAGGTCGAGGTGGAGGTTTTCTGTTTGTTTTCAATTTAGCATTTTGGGTTCAAAAGCAAATGGCATGCTTTGACTGCAGTCTTTGCAGATTCCAGCTCTTAAATTTCATTTGCACTAGGAATGGTCTGATTAATCTGACAGCCCTCTCATCTACTGGATTTTAGCCCTTAAAAAACCCAAAAGATCCTCTTACTTCACCATCGGTACACTTCAGATGTGTGCCTTCCCAGACCATAGGAAGAAACCAGAATTGGGGAAACTGCTGTCCCTGTGTGACATGCATCACTATCTGAGTGAACAGCAAAAGAGCAGCTGAAAAACCTTACTTTACTTAGTCCCCATGCAAAGCCAAAACAAATTAATGACCAGAGAATAATCTGCCTCGAAAGACTTCTGTATGTAAGGAAGTTACAAACCTGTTAGTTTCTGTTTAAGCAGAGATTCAGTTTGTGACAAGATACTTCAGAAGCCATATCTTAGATTAACTCCATATGAAAACTAAATTAAAATGTTTTACAGGAATTTTAGACACAGAGGTAGGAAACAGATGAGAGGTAAAAGAGAGAGTGGTCTTTCAGAGGTCTACATGACTTCTGTATGTAAGGAAGTTACAAACCTGTTAGTTTCTGTTTAAGCAGAGATTCAGTTTGTGACAAGATACTTCAGAAGCCATATCTTAGATTAACTCCATATGAAAACTAAATTAAAATGTTTTACAGGAATTTTAGACACAGAGGTAGGAAACAGATGAGAGGTAAAAGAGAGAGTGGTCTTTCAGAGGTCTACATGCACTGCCTTGTCGTAGACAGCTAGGAATAAAACCACTCAGCTGTCAGAATGGCACATTCGTAATAGGGACAAAGAGTCGCTTCCCTTCTTGTCTAAGACATTGTCCTCATGAAAACAAGAGCAACAATAAAAACCATAAATTGAGTTTAAATTAGTAGGTACATGCCTGGTCTTATCTTCAGACACCTTTGAATTAGGAATGTGCTCAAAAAAGGAAGGTTTAATAGATGGCACACTGCTTTCTCCCAACACTAACATCTGGGGACCAACTCATGGCGCCAGGCAGCCGAGCTTGATGCACTTACAAGGCACAGACTTCAGCTGTCTGTAAATATTTGCCCAGGTGATGTAGGTTGGCACAATTTTAAAGGTTTAAAAGGAAAATTCCTATTTGTTTTAGGAAGACCAAATCACTTCAGAACACTGGATTTCAGGTACAGTCCACACAGATTTAAGTTTCTGTTTCAGGTTGCTTTTTTAACCACATTTTTGTTTGATCAACATTTTCCCAAGTTTATTTTAGAAGCAAATACTCTGAAATGGATTAGGGGACTCTCAACACCCTGATTTTATGGCATTGCTATACCAGGGATGTAACTCCTTATAGTGCAAGCACAAACAAGGCATTAAACTTACTTTTCCAAAGAAGCCTTTGAAGAACTTCCTTTCCTGGAGGAACAGGGGGGACAAGTCGAGCGCTATTACTGTAGGTAGTTAAAATGTCCCAGGGTTTTCAAACCAACAAGCACACACAAGAATAGGGTTTGGAGGGAAAGGAAGGGGTTTTAAGAGTTATCCATGAGAAGGTGCGACAGGCAAATGTGAAAATAATCCCATGAAAATGCAGATCAAAGGGCACACACACAATTCTAATAAGCTACTGCCCTGAAATTGGTGGAAAGAAGAAAACCTCAGCCCCAATTTCATGCACACTGGTTACTTTATTTTCACTCTCCCTTGTTTAGTGTCTTTTAGTTAGGTTATAAACCAAACTTGGCAGCAGACATGGTGGTTAAACAAATAAAATACTGTACAGGCTCTGGTGAAATGCAAAGTTCTAACTCCAGAATTGCAATCAAGTTTGCTCTGTATTCATCACCCTTTCCCAAAGTAAATGCTCTGAGAGCTGAAGAAGCATGTATGGCTGGTATAAAGCAGGTCTAAATACTGCTTCATTTTGTTCCATTTATTTGATGCTCTGGTTTACGTGCTACTCTTACGCTTCACATCTTCCCTGAAGAATAAGGAATTTCATCTTACCTGGGGGGAGAACTAAAACACAAATGAGATCCCTTCCTCTTTCTCTAAAGCCTTCCAAGGCTTTATGCAATATTTATACAAATACTAGTTCTTCATTCTACAACTCTGAATTGACAGGCTGCACAGCCATTAAAGTCAGCTCAGACAGGGAGAGACAGAGTTAGGCAAGTGCAAAGATACCAAGAGCTGAACTACAACTTCCCAAATGTCTTCAGCCAGAAGCGATTATACCAATTGCCCAATTCACATTAAGAAAAAGGCAGCACACAGTTTTAAGCATATTTGCATGCAGTTTAGTTCAGTTTAGTTTACTCGCTTTATTTTGTTACCAGACTGTAGAAAGCAAATCAGAAGATCTGAACCAATCTGCTGAGAGAGCACTTCACCAGGCCTGGTGTTCTGCGAGCACAGCCACATGCTGCTCCGTGTTCGAGGGAAGCT